CAAAAATATAAGTGGTAAACAAGTTTTTTTAAACAATTACTAATATTCGATTTTTTGTAAGCTATTTAATATTGGCACTTAAAAAATTAACTGCTCCAAATTTTTTATAAAAATCAATTAGGTTATAAGCAATAATTTGCACAGTCCTTGGTAATGCATAAAAAAATATATGAAAAAATTACAATTGGTTTGCATCGCGAAGAAAATAATCAAGATTCAGTCAATAGCGATCAATAGCTCGATAGTTCGAGCGAAACGCTTGAAGCGACTAAATTGACTCGACTGAATTGAGTCGCTTCAAGCGACTAAATTTAGTCGACTGAAAGTAGTGGTTGGTTACTATCGACTTAGTCGATAGTTTTTAGTCGATGGTGCCCATCACTACTAGAGATGGCGTGCAAAATCACTAACGGTGATTTATCGCAGTGATCGCCGAATCACGATCATGGTCGTGATTTAACTTCCTTCACGACCGTGATTGCGATTTTTTTATCTTGAGTGAATTCGCTCACTGCGATCGTAAGTCCTTGATCTTTAAACAGAAAATCGTATTCAATATATTTTTACGATGAATTACATTATTATTCGTGTTTGTAAAAATCAGTAGAAAAAACAAGAAATTCTAAAAGAATGATTTCCTAGGTAACATGTACATTATAATTTGTAATTATTAATTTATTCATTATTCTTCATTGTTTCTAATTATTCCTTCACTTTATACGATATAACTCGAATATTTGTTTTGATGTTAATATAAAATATCCAGATTATGTGTCGCGTGTAAAGAACTGTTAAGTTTCTCCACCAATCAGAAACGATCACGAGAAATCACGAATTATTGTGAAAATCACCGTGATTGGGAACGAACGTGATCGAATCACGAGTGATTTACAAGTAGCAGTTCACGCCATCTCTAATAACTACACTACAGCTACAGCCGTAGAATGCGTAGAAGAATCCCCCACCAACAGTCCCATTAGAAAGAGAGGAAAGTTACTTCAGTTACTGGCCTCTTTTTTTTGGCCATCTTCATCCCTACCATAAGACTGCGCAGTCTATTGGACATATACGCTATGTGTGCACATGACACTGCACTCTAAATTATGTATAGGTTTTTCCATTCTAAGGTTGGAATTTTATCATAGTGGTAAATGTTCATAACAAAGGAAGGTTCTTTTTACGTTTCTAAATAAATCAGTATTATATTAAAAGAAGTTGCTACCGCTTCTACTCTAACAATTGTATTCAAACGCTTTTAAATAAAGATTGTACCTACAAGAAATGTAAGTAACATTTGAAACCAAAATAGTAATGACGTGTAGTTGTTTACGAAAAATAAATATTTTTCAATTAATAAATGAAATTCGTTACGTTTCACTTTTTAGATCGTTCTTTCATTGTTAATCTGTTACTTTTACCATTAAATACTATCATGCTCCCAGCTATTTAAATTTTCTTCGTTTTTTATAACCTAACCCGTTGAAATTCCGTTTATGACAGCATAAACAGGTACAATTATAATTTATAGCAATGTCATCATTAGCTTCAGATAATTTTACTAAAAATGGTAAACAAATTAATTATTGTATATACATATAATTTTGTATCTTTTAATTTTTTTTCCATGTTATCATATAAACTTATAAAATTCAAAGTAAGGTATTGATATGTAAAAATAATGTTCTATTTTTATTAATATTGTGTTACAATGATTACATGCATCAGAGAATTATAAAGAACGTTATTTTTAGGTCATACCACATGTTTTTCATAAATAGCATGTTCCATCTACACCTCTGATGCTTTCAGTTTGAGAGAAACAGAAAAATATGGTTAGTTAATGATACCTGTTTACAACCACAAGTTATAAATATTATTACTTCATTATAGAATATTGAAAAAGTATGTATAATTTGGCTTGCATTATTGATTGTGTGAAATATATAAAATTAAGCTTTGATCATTCCTATTAAAATGAGATTAATTCTACTCTATTAGTTAATTTTAATTACTATTATCAATATGTATAACAGAGTAAAACATGAAAACTTAACATGGAGTATAAATAATTTTCATTAAGTGTTAAAGTTATATATTTGACTGAGTCATAAATAATTTTCATTTTTTTTATTTTTGCATTTCTAAGATATATAATACTATATTTAATATTAATCTATTAATTCATGTGGTTGATATTATATAGTTTGGTTCTAGAGAAAAAAAATATTTACTTTAATCTGTTTGGAACGAAAAATCAATTCCTTTAAACTTTTACAGATGCTAGGCCAAAAGGAAAAGTATCTTTTACTATACTTTGAGGAATTCTGAAACTTTAGTTTCTTCCCTTTTATGTTTTTGGTTCCTTTATTTTAAATGCTGCGCTTCTATAGATATCATCTGACATACCATTTTTAATTCTCTGTCCTTTCTATTTCTTCTTTTTTTTTACATTTTCTTTTACTTTTAGCTTCAGTATTTGTTACTCTTGTACAGTTCGATTTAAACATTATGTATATACATTTATTTACTGAATTTGGAGAATATAAAATACTTTTGTAGAAGTTGTTTATGTCTCAAACCAATAATTTAAATGATACATTCAGTATATTTGCTGTAGTAGTTCGCAACATCGAGTAGTTTATTCAACTCGTTCATTTATAAATGTGGTTACATGGATTTACACAAGGCCACACAGATTAAATGTATGTATATTCTAAAGATTGTTTTATTTTTAGTGTTTTTTTGTAAACTTTGAGAAAGTGTTGTAATTTCCACCTTATTTTTTCCTAGAATCTACAATTTTTCAATAGTCATTTGAAATGAAATATTATTCACTGTATAATTTACAATTAGTGTATTATTGTTCTGAATATGATCTGCTACATATATGATAAAATAATTTTGCATAGAACCAAAAACTGGGAAATATTTTGTACTTATATTGCCATTTGTGTAGGAAAGCTGGACAAAAAAACGTCGTTTGGCTTGTGAGCCAGTTGTAGCAGTAAAACATTCCTCAAACCAATCGAACATAGATATGTTTTGTTGGGGGAGTACTATAGATGGGGAATTGGGATTGGGTGGTATTGAGGATGAAAATATATTAAGTCCTCGTGAAGTTGATTTTAATAAAGCAGCGGAGATAGAACAAAGTAAGAGTTCAGTTAGGAAAAAAGACACATGTCTATGTAATTGTAAAATTATTATATTTTAATATAATTTTCATATAGTTGCATGTGGTGAAAATTATACAGTAATTGTTACTCGTGACGGTAAAATATATTCATGTGGAAATAATGATTCTGGCCAACTTGGCCATGAAAAAGGAAGGAAACGATTGCGTAAGTATCAAATATCTAAGAAACATTAAGTTATTTGTATTCTTTATTAAAAACATTATGTTACTTTCAGAACTGGTACCTGGTTTAGATGCATTTGTATTTAAAAAAGTAGCCTGTGGTGCACATCATACATTAGCAGTAAATGAGTGGGGGCAGTTGTTCAGTTGGGGCTCCAATGCAGAAGGCCAGTTAGGTATTACTGAAACTAGTAGTTGTCTCCCAAAAATAAATACTTGTAGTTTTGCACTTTAATATAATTTCAGGTTTAAATTCTAAAACTGTTATGGAATGTATGCCACGCATGGTAAAAGTTTTAGGTACAAGTGTAATCGTTCAAATAGCTTGTGGTACGAAACATACACTTGCATTGACAAATGACGGTGAATTGTATAGTTGGGGTTCCAATAATGAAGGTCAACTTGGATTAGGTTCTGATATTAAGAATGAGATAAAGCCTAAACTTATTACCAGTCTAGTTGGTATACCTATTGCTTTTATCGCCTGCGGAGGATATCACAGTATAGCTATATCAAAATCAGGTATTGTAATGTATATAAGGTGTCAACACATTGTATGTGGGACACGTATTAGTACGTTTTTCGTATACTGTCGGTATCTGCGGACCACGTACTAATACGTCTTTCATATATCGTTTGGAACTGAGCGGTACCATACCATAAAACATTATTGAAGTTTTAAATATATTGAAATCTCTTTCTGGTGCAGTCTTGTCGTCAAACATGACCCGCGCCACATCAGGTGAAACGCGCAAAATAGGCCGCATATAGTGTATTAATAAAAATGTAGGATATCTTCACAAGGTGGATTCTACATGCCAAACTAAGACAAAAATTAAGAATGACGAAATTGTGTTTGAAGCTTCATTCCAGGTTATTAATTGTTGAAAATACGGACGAAATACGCGTGAAATACGTCCGTTGTCTCACGAAGCGTCATATAACACTACTTCAGTTACACGGTAAGTGGGTCTTTCTGATGCTACGACACTGAAGGTCGTCGTCTGAACCCGTGTATCAGTTGGACATCAGCTGTTTGAGTAGTACAAAAGTGCATTTACACTACGACAAGCGGACCACGGATCGAGCACGGGATAAGTCTTCGACGAGCTGACAAAAATATTCTTTCATGTGTTTCTAATGAAACAGTGTATACTACCGAGATCGTCGAAGGTTCCTCCCGTGCTCAGCTCAACACAGTAAAAATGAACGTTAATTTTTTTCGTTTTAGTTTGGCATGTAGGATCCAACCTGTGAAAATATAATTATTTTTATTAACAACCTGTAGATGAATTATATAATTTTGATAAATTATTAAAGGTTGTTAAATTTTTCTCTAGGTGCTGTATTTGGTTGGGGTAAAAATACATTTGGTCAGTTGGGTCTAAATGATACACAGGACAGAAATGTTTCATGTCTATTGAAAACTTTACAAAATTCAAAGGTGTGTTATGCAGCTTGTGGTGAAGAATTTTCTGTATTTTTAACATTGGTAAGTATTTTAACCTTTATTCTTGAAAAGGTTTAATAACAGGGTGTGGTTTAAAACATAAAAAAATGCTAAAATAGCACTGAGTTATTGTGTGTACAAATTTCTTTTAGGACGGTGGTGTATTTACTTGTGGGGCAGGAATGTATGGCCAGTTGGGCCATGGAAACAATTCGAATGAAATTTTGCCCCGTCGAGTTATGGAGCTTATGGGTAGCACTGTTACACAGGTATTTAGTCATATTATATGTAGGAAAATTTGTAGTACTTTTTATATGTATCTAACGCGGATCAAAATTTATTTTTAAGATTTCATGTGGAAAAAGACACACATTGGCATTGGTGCCATCACGAGGTAGAATTTATGCATGGGGCTTAGGAGGAGCAGGACAATTAGGAAGTCGTGTTGCATGTAGTGCAGCTACTCCACAAGTAGTACAAGGGCCATGGATTGCACCAAATGGTTCCTCAGTGATGGACTTAGATAAGGAGTTTAAGTCTTGTAAAAGTGACTACATTGTTAGACACATTTTTACTGGTGGAGATCATTGTTTTGCAACGGTAGTTCCATACAAGGTAAGTGTGCAGTTTTGTGGATTTGTAACTTATCAAGACTGTGTCACATATCTAGTTACAGCAGAGTCTTATAGTAAAACACAAAATACCTATGTTGTTTTTATCATGAGTGTAGGATGAAAGGAGCCTAGGGTTATATAATTTTAATTATGCAGTGAAACCTCAAAAATTGTATACTTTAATGATTTTTTTCATCTTTTTATCAGTCAAACTAGAAATAGAATACTGATAGACTGAATTTTGTGCATTTATGGCTCAAACAAGCATACTGAGTACAATAAAATAAAATCTTTAATAGGATATAACGAAATTTTTCATATATTTATTGCTCAATAATTACTCAAAAATGTAATTGCTGAATTCTTTTTTTCTGTGACTCTGTGTTTGTAAAATAATCTATGAAAATGGATATTTGCATAGATTTCCTCTGTTTAATTATTGACATGTTCCCTGCCATATAGATCACATATATTGCTTATTGTACTGTTCATTCACTTAGCTGTAATAGGATGTCTGTTTTAATCGGAAATGGTGAAATATTTCGTAGACTGTAGAAAGTACGAAAAAATTGCCATGTAAGTTAGTTGGTATGGAGGGAGTATTATGTAGTGTAAAGATTTTTCTCATATATGATGTTATATGTGCGACTTTGCAAGCACGGTTACCTAGGTTTGATAGTACACGTCCTGCAATTCAGGTTGATTTGATTCCTTCGAATCTCATTAATTTATGACCTTCTATTACACTTAATGGCCTTATACAATTACTCTAACTAGTAGAAAGAACTCAGTTGACGTAAAGTCTCCTCTATGACGTTACATACTTATATGAAAACAATTTACACGGCACAATGTCTGCCTCCATACAAAAAAACTTTTGTAACAATATTTTTTGGTATCTTCAGTTACTTATGAGATATTCTAATGTTTCCAGTTAAAATAGACACCCTGTATAATCATTTGTTTTAGCGTATTTATTATATCCAAAGAGTTTGTTGTCTTGTACGGTGTAGCGACCTTTTTTATGATTTTTCTTTGAAGAAGTTGACTTATTGTGTAAATTAAACTGTTACACTTGGCATAAACGGAAAGTTATATGTTGAAGATTGGGCTGGCAAGGAATGCGTTAATAAATCGAATAAAAAGATAGTAATAACGATATAATGTATGTGGTGTGTATTAAAATATCTATAGGATAATGTGCAACCAGATGACTGTAGAAGATTAGAAACGTCTTGTAAAATTCTCGAAATAACTGAAGACCAGCTGATGGCGTGTCAGCGAGTCCCACCAAGCTCGTCTGTTGATCATGAACTAATGACGTGAGTACAAAAGTTAGTAAAAAACATTACTTAAAATTGTTCTAATCATCTGCAGAACAATATTTTATTTTTGTAGAATACCCATTAGAAGTTAGGTCTTTAATCTTTCCTGAATCAGTAATAAGGTTTATAAGGTATATCAAACTTGTGCAAAATTGCAGGTACTTGGAGACGGTATTTAAAAGTCAAGCCTGTGTGAATGGATCATTTTTGCTTAACAGTGATCGTCACTATGGATGCTCCAGTGAACAAAACGGACTAAATTTTGATGAAGCAAGTAGATTATTCGGAATTATTAGGGAACTGGATAATAGCACGATTCAGGAACTGGTATATGAGAAACTCAGTTTTACAAAAGCTCAAGAATTTGGAAATTTGTATTTACAACAAATTATTTATTCTTTCTTCAGATATTTACTTGCATATCAGACAGCTTGATTCCTTCTTTTATTAGTACATTCTCCAAACTACATTGTCTGGAGTCTTTAAGAATCTTCTTAATACTACCTTTGTATCACGGTTTTGCAAATCCCCTTAACTGTAATATATTGCATAAACCATTCTGTACAGCTGTTTCGGCATTAAAACCAGAACTTCTTGAGGTAGTATGTCAATGGTGGATCAAAGCGCCACCGCATTATTTTGAGAGACTAGTTAGAATTCATAAATCAGTTGTTTTACATTATGTAAGACAGTCCACGCCAAATAAGGTAATTTACTTTACTAATAAAGAAAAGTAAAAAATACGGAGGACCGTAATATTGTATTATTTAAATTTGATTACAGGGAGTCTTATGGGACGACACATTCCAATTTGTGTTAGATCTGTTACGCTTATTAAACAAATTAAACAATGAGGGCGAGAATGGTAACATAGTAACTTATTCTACGTTTCATTTGCCAGAACTAGTGGATTTTATAAATATTATAGGCGACTACGAGAAATGGATTTCAGAAAAGGATACTAATGTTGTATGTTATACTCATAGTACAATTCAAATTTATCCAATTACAAATGACAATTTCTGTTAAATTTGTTGAACTCTTCCATAGTCCCAGAAAGTGTTCTGTCACTATCCTTTCCTTTTTGATGCTCAAGCTAAGACTATATTACTCGAAACAGACCAAGTTATTCAGGTATGAAATAATATTAATTTTCATTAATATAGTATTGTTTATTTTTATTTCACGTCGTTTCAATGTCCATTAGATGCAATCGGCAATGGATGAAGCTCTAACTCAAGCAATGATAAACCAGATGTTTTTCGACCCCTTTTCTGTAAATATACGTCAACAGGGGCTATTTGTAATGTTAAACGTTTCGCGTGAAAGAATTGTTGAGGATACTTTGATTGAATTATCTCGTTATGATTCCAGTGACTTGAAGAAGCCTCTTCGAGTGAGTATCATGATTGTATTTCAAATATTTTATATATGAAACTGGAAATTGATGGATTAAATATAAATAGGTGAAATTTCATGGTGAAGAAGCAGAAGATCAAGGTGGAGTCAGAAAAGAATTTTTTATGCTTCTGCTGAAAGAAATTTTAGACCCCAAGTATGGTATGTTCAAGCAGTATGAGGAGACGAGGGTGCTTTGGTTCAGCGAAGACTCCCTGGAAGATGAAAGCATGTATTTTTTAATAGGGATTCTTTGTGGGCTAGTTATTTACAATTTCATTATTATTGATCTGCCATTTCCGTTAGCCCTATATAAAAAATTGTTACAAGAACCAGTTGGATTATTTGATATAAAGGATATGTCACCAGTACTTGCAAAGTATGCCGTTATATCGAAGACAACAATTTTTCCTTCTAAAATTAATTATTACAAAACGTAATAATATTATAAATCTCATTTTAGGAGCATGCAAAATATGCTAGATTATGAGGAGTTGGATTTTGAAGATGTTTTTTGTTTGAACTTCGAAGTGGTTAGAGAGGCATTTAGTGAGAAAAGGATATACGAACTTATACCAGGCGGTAGTAAAGTTCCAGTTACAATGAAGAATAAGTATGTTCATATTTTTTAATCTATTTTCATTTCTTCTGTATGATTAATTTTTATAATTATTTGTTTGTTTTAGAAAACAATTTGTTGAGTTATATGTGGATTACATACTAAACAAATCAGTAGAACCTCATTTTCAGCAATTTTACAAAGGTTTTCATAAAGTCTGTGGTGGAAGAGTGCTGGAATTATTTCACAGTTATGAATTAAAAGCCGTAGTAGTAGGGAATGAGGATTATGATTGGGAGGAGTTAGAAAAGAATGCTACTTACAAGGAAGGCTATACGAAAAATGATCCTACTATCGTATTATTTTGGCAAGTGTTTCGTGAATTGACTTTGGAAGAGAAGAAAAAATTTTTACTATTTTTAACTGGATGTGATAGAATACCTATACAAGGCATGAAAGCTATTACGGTGGGTAATGCAAATTGGACGTCACATTCTTGATTTTATATACTTGTTTACTTCTACCTAATGTTTAACGGTTAACCCATTAACAGTCTAATACAATTACGACTTGTGGTATAAAAAATGTATATTTTTTACCACAAAAAACGAAACTACTTTTACCCATGATAAAAAATAGTAAAATATGTCTTACACGCATCTTTTGAATAATTACGTCGTGCACGATAAATGCGCCGTGCCCAAGTCTCACTCAGGATAAACTGTTAATGGGTTAAATGTATTTAATTAAATTAGGTATTGTGATAGTTTGTATTATTTATTTCACTGTTTGTTTATTGCAGACAGTTAAATATATTATACATAATATACAGGGTGGCCCACATAACTTTTAACAGCTTAAGATCTCGAAAACTATGCCCTCGATTTTAAAGTTCTTAGTCTTAAATTGCATGAATCTGAAGGGCCTTTCTAACTACATAAACGTGAAGTGCCCCCCCTTCCCCTTTGGGGGGGGG